CTAGTTGCAGGTGTTAGTTCATTCTTTTTCAGCTTTTGGATCACGATGGGACATGCAATGCTCGTAACTTCATCCACGTCTTGAGCAGTTCACAACTTTCATATGTTTCTGCATTTGGATTTACTTCTTCTTCTTCTCTTTTTTTTTCATTCTGGATTGGGACTTCTTCTTTTGGTTATCTCAGACTGTTGACTCGCATTCTTGCCGCGAGCTTCTGCTACTTCTAACTTGAATTGGATTCTGAAATGACTTCCCTTGTTCTCCATGTGGGCGCCTGATTGCCAAAATTTGAACCTTGTTCTCTTGTTCTATGGGTGGGCGCCTAATTGCCAAAAACTTGAAATAATTCCGAAACGAATTCCCTCGTTCTCCAGGTGGGTGCCTGCAATCAAAACAACAAGACAAACAAAATTTTCTGCCCCAGTTTACACTAGGAAGATTTGTGAGTTATTAGCAAAACTGTAAATCACTTATGTTATTGATGCAATGATGAGAGTAAAACTAAAGACTCGACTAGGATGTGCGTCTCCTGTGAATCAAACCAATAATATTTGACTAGCAAGTGCGTCTATTAAGAATAGACCCAGACTAGGAAGTGTGTCTCCTAAATTTAAAATTGAGCTTGAGGAGAACTATAAATTAAGCTTGACTAAAGTAAAAACTGACCCTATTCTCCAGGCGGGACCCCTGATTTCAAGAAAACTAAAGATTAATAGCTTAAGAAAACTAAAGATTGATCCTAAGAGAAAGTTCATCAGACTATGCCCCTTTTGTTATCTTAGGAGAAAGATTCATCCAACTAAGATTTCTATCCTAGGAGAAAATTCATCAAACTAGGTCTTCTATCTTAGGAGAAAAATTCATCAGACTAAGATTTGATCCTATGAGAAAGTTCATCAGACTAGGTCTTCTATCTTAGGAGAAAGATTTATCAGACTAAGATTTGATCCTAGGAGATAGTTCATCAGACTAGGTCCCTTTTTGTTATCTTAGGAGAAAGATTCATCAGACTATGATTTTGATATCTTAGGAGAAAGATTCATCAGACTAAGATTTTGATCCTAGGAGAAAGTTCATCAGACTAGGTTTTCTATCTTAGGAGAAAGATTCATCAGATTAAGATTTTGATTCTAGGAGAAAGTTTATCAGACTAGGTCCATTTTTGTTATCTTAGGAGAAATATTCATTAGACTAAGATTTTGATATCTTAGGAGAAAGATTCATCAGACTAAGATTTTGATCCTAGGAGAAAGTTCATCAGACTAGGTCTTTCTTGTCTTAGGAGAAAGATCCATCGGACTAAGATTTATATCCTAGGAGAAAATTCATCAGACTAGGTCTTGTTTTTGTTATCTTAGGAAAAAGATTCATCAGACTAAGATTTTGATCCTAGGAGAAAGTTCATCAGACTAGATCTTCTATCTTAGGAGAAAAATTCATTAGACTAAGATTTTGATCCTAGGAGAAAGTTCATCTGACTAGGTCTTTTGTTATCTTAGGAGAAAGATTCATCAGACTAAGATTTTGATCCTAGGAGAAAGTTCATCAGACTAGGTTTTCTATCTTAGGAGAAAAATTCATCAGACTAAGATTTGATTGGGAGGAAAATCCATCAGACTAGGACTTTTATCCTAAGAAGAAAAATATGAAGAGCAGTGGCAATATTTTATACACACTAGCAAGACAGATAAATGCAAAGATTTGAGAAACTTCCCTTTGTCGACTCTTCTCTTCCTTTTTTCTTTTTCTTTCTTTTCTTTTCTCTTTTTCTTGATTTTGAACCACTTGCTTGCACTGCTTTATTCTTGTTTCAAACAAAGAAAACTTGTGAATTTAAAATATGGTGGTTAGTTTGTGGCCTTGACCTTGAAGGCGGCTGCTTCTGCACTTGCCAAGATAACTTTGATTTCAACTTGGAAGACCTTGCCTTTCATCAACTAACCATTTTCTTTCAAACCCTATCACAGAAAACACCTCCACTCCATTCGATCCCAATATCCTCTATCTGTTGCATTTTGCTCATGAATTGATACTACCGAACATTTACATTTCACATGAATCCCAAAGCATGTTGATTGGTACCAACTCAATGTGCATACCGTTTTTCCTAACTTATGCCACTTTAATGTGCTAGCCAAATTCGTTTTGTGCAATAGGAAAGTTGGTAGAAAATCTTGAAGTCATTTCTCACTTGTTCTGACCAAACAGACTCAAGAGGGACTCAAACAAAATAAGAGGAACAAAATAAGGGACAAGGGAAAGAGATGATACCTAACAAGAAAATTACAAATTAAAAACTTATCAGATGTGGATACCAACTCTAATGACCATGACATGCACCTTTGGATTAAGTGGCCTAATCTCTCAAGCAAGTCTAATATTCAACTCTTATTGTACCTCTTCGCTGTGAAACTAGGCTTCAGCGCTTCAATTGTCCCATCTGATCCACAATCCTCAGTCGACTTGTAGTGCCCTGAAGGGTTTTCACTATCAAGCCTCTCTTATTTTGCTTTTTTCTCAACTCACCGTCGCCTTAAGGTGCCCATGAGGGTTTTCACCGATAAGGCTCTCTCATTTTATCATTTCCTCTCTTTGTGCTGAGAACAAAGTATTGCCCATGTTACAAGAAGATCATAATTTCACCACACACTTGATTTGATATCCTCAAAGATTGGTCGGAAGGTCTTTCTTTAGACCGTAATGTAGGCTTTTGGACAGGGTTGGAAAGAAAGGGTGGCATGAAGGCTCAAAATAATTTAAGATGAAAGGGTTCAAAATTATAATTTTTGGAATCAGATATTTTGGCCAAATTAAAACTTCTGCCCTAGTTTCCTGGGGTCTGAGGAATATTTTTTTTTGCTTTGATGGAAATTTCTAAGAAAGACTGCCCCACTCTTGACTTTGTGGGATTATGAAACCATTTTATTTGGTGCGACCAAACCGTAAGGCTACCTACGTATCTTGTGGTGACAAGAATCAGGTCGAACGTAGTTCAAACAAAGTTGGGTTTTTTTTCTTTTCCTTTTCTTTTTTCTTTTTTTCCTTTTCTCATTTTTTCTTTTTTTTTCTTCTTTTTCTCTTTTCTTTTTTTTTCTTCTTTTTCTCTTTTCCTTTTGCTTTTCCTTTTCTAGTTCTTAACTCTATTTCTGATTCCAAAAGAGGGGTATGAAACAAAAATTAGGGCTCAAAAGGGGTAGCAAAAGATAAAAGTGTTTGGGTAGCAGAATAAAATGCCTTCATCATACCAAACTTTTAAAATGCCAGGTAGAAGCATGCAATTGAAGATAAGCAAAGAAATCATACACAGTATCTATTGATAGCATCAACACAAACACAAAGTGTCAACGGGCAATACCTTTGTCCCAATGAAAGACCCTTGCCAGTTCGAAGCAGACTTGACTCAACCTTATCTTGATGTGGAAGATGCATTTAAGCACTGACTGATTTACCCCAAACTGCTTGAGAGACATTTCCTTGTTGTATGCTCTTATCGACCTCTTGATTTTCCAAACTAACTGCCTCAGTTTCACTCAATTCACGCTTCAGGTTATCTCAGGATGCGTGAATCTTTAATTGTTTCCTCAAATGCCTCCTATTATTATATTCAAAACTGTGTCATTGCTTCATGATTAGACTAACTTTCAAGACCAGGCTGAGAAGTATGCATGCATGTCATGTTACTAGAGTTAGCATGAAAAGAACTATAAAAGGAAAAATGACCTAAACAAAACTGACTAGAACTAACAGAAAATAAGAGATTGTATTAGACAGATGATGAAAAGGGTTTGAACAGAACAGGCAAAATAGACATGGGTTACAACCTTGGAACAATTCTAGATAATACTAGACGAGTTACTACCGCTAAACGAACTAGGCAAAATAAGAAGAAGAAGGGTTTAAGCCACAAGACAATATCTAGATTACAACCCTGAAATAACCCGGACAACAGAAATGACATCAAAATAAACCACCAAAACTCCTCCCTGGCTAGCCAAGAAAGGAGTGTCTTTCTAATTACCAACCTCGACATCATAGCCGTTGGGCTGCACATCAAAATTACTACGACCTTTACCAATTTCTATATCATTAACTTCAGCCAGCAAGTTCCCAAGAGGATTCTCATATTCCCTGTCACCATGCATCTTCCCCACAAAGTGTGCTGACCCAGGTAAATTTTCTTCCTAAACTTGAGCAGGGTGTGAGGTTGTTTTGGTTGGTGGGGCATGGAAAATTTAGGACAAAGTGTCGGGGTAAGAGTTGTAAGAGGTGAAGCCCGGGGCGTGTTGAAGGGAAAGATCAATGGTATTGGGCATCTGGGCTTGGGACAGCGGTGGAATGGAGGCAGGGTTTTCTGTATAGTTGGTAGGGAATGAAGGTGGAGGGTGCTCCTTAATCCAGGACTGATACACTTTTTCCATCTGATGTTTCAACCCTCGAACCTCCTCTTTCAGTTCCGATTCTAATTCAACCATCTCCCTCGGTCAACAACTCATGTGTCCAAATCTTTGCTAGTCATGGCTTCCTTGCTTTTTGACCTTGTGTTGTATACGAATCGCCAAAGTGCCACAAACTAACCACCCTCTATTATGATAACAATGAAAGTAACAAAGGGGAGCAAAACAAAGCCAACATGTTAGCGTTAGAGCATTTATCAGATAGAAATATCATATTGCGTGCAATGCCCCTAGCAACAATTAACGGTTCTAGAATGGCTTTGAGGGTCACGAGGTCATTTGGCATCATCCCAATTTTGTTCATTTTATTTTTCTCTTTTCTTTCTTTTCTAGCACTTCTTGGCTTGCTCATTTTTCTTCCTCTTTCTTTTTTCTGATAAACACTCTTTTCTTTACTCTCATTTCTCACATCCCACAACCTTACCATTTTTTTTCCTTCTTTTTTTTAATAATAATTCGATCGAACCCTATGTAGCTTGTCTACGTATCATGTCCCTCATGAATCAAATCAAGCGTAGTTCTGAAAAAGTAATGGGCAAAATAAACTAAGAAACAAAAATCTTTTTGGATTTTCCATTTATAACTTTTTTTTGGTTTTTCAAATACAAAACAAGAGGTACGATAATGAGAGACTCGGCAAACTAAACTATACTACGACAACTCTAACACCAACTAAATGACTGAATACTATTGCACAAGACTAGAAAGTAAAATATGAACAATAGACTCAAAAACATAAAAAGGCTCCTCAAGCAGCTCTGTGGTCCAGGGGTATCTATCATGCTCGAGTCCTGGTACATGGATCCATACCTGAATGAGAAAAATAAGACCAAATAGATCAATGACTCAAGACACTATGTTGCACCCCAACACCTCCTATTGGACACATGCAAGACACGATTGGGCTATTTTTTGAAAATTAACCCACGTGGCCAAAAGTGGCTAAAGATGCAAACTCAAAAAAAATAAGGACGGACCTTAAGTAATATGACACCTAGCTGTGGAATCAAAATTCTAAGACATGGGTAATTGAACCACTTTTGCGAAAATAACCCTATTTTGCAAGAATGGCCGATATGATCAAAAGTGGCTAGACATGCAAATTCAACAGGAATGGACCTTAAAACTGAGATGACACCTTGTTGTGGCCTTAGGACTCTAAGACATGGGTTAACAAGCCACTTTGCGAAAATATCCCTATTTTGCAAAAACAGCCGATGTGACCAAACGTGGCTAGACATGCAAGATTTGGTTAAGACCCCATAAATCCAAGAACCTAAGACACTAGGAAGACCGGACCCTATGTGGTTTGTCTACGTATCCCGCCCCGAGAGACGAGAATCAGGTACGCGTAGTTCGGGAGGATTGGACATGGGAGAAAGCTTTTTTTAAAAACAAACAACTAACTTGGAAAAACTATATTTTTTGTCCTTTTGAAAAATGATGTAAAATCTTTTTGGATTTTCTTTTTTTCTCTTTTTTTTTTTATATTTTTGGAAAATGATGAAAAGTGCAAAATCTCTTTTTGAATTTTTCATTTTCATTTTTTGTCTTTTCTTCAAAAAGGTTGTGAAGGAAAAACATAACTGGATCCTACTTGCTTTCACACTATTTTCTTTCTCATTTACCCTTAAACCGTCATTGGTCCGCCAAATGACCTTTTTACTCTTAAAGAATGTAGCATGTAACACACAAGGATGATTAAATGTCTTTTTGGGCCACATGCCCAGTTTTGACAAAATTTGGATAGGCTTCCTACAAAGGGAGATGGTCCCTGGGATCGAGCCCTACTAGGTCCAAACGACATGATGCAAATAAGAATGACCTAAAGATTGACCTAACTTTGGGGTTCACTAACAAGGCAGTTCAGGGCGGCACGTGGTCGATGGCGGCTGCTCTAGCTGTCCGCCCACTCCACGCTCTCACGCCACCCCCCTAAAGACACGTGTGACTCATGAAAAGATCGTGTACGCTCAAACGTACTCTGAAAGACTTGTTGCAGAAAGAAGACCCATGGTTATGCAAATGATGACAATTTATAAAGCAGTAACACATAAAGGAAAAACTGTAAACAAATAAGCAACTAGCAAATAATAAAATGACATAAAAAAAATAAAAAGCAAACAAAACACATAAAAACCTCAACTGAATATCCTAAAAACCAACAAGATCAAGTACTAGCTCGAACCTGCAATTCCCCAGCAGAGTCGCCAGAGATGTCACACCCCCTTTTTTACAAACTTCACTAACTCTCTTAAAAATATAAAAAAAGATTTAGTAAAGCTCAAAAAGGATTTTTAATTAAAAGTGACAAAATATTGTGCTCAAAAGGATTAACTCAGAGTCGCCACCTGACATTGGCTTCGGTGTGCCAGGTCACCATTTTTTTTTAAAAAAATGATTTTTTCCTTTTAAAACACTTCGGACTCTAAAACTAAGTCTGCACCAGAGATTCGGGTAAGGGGGTTCATTTGACTCGGGGAGAAGGTGTTAGACACTCCCCAAGTCCCGTAACTAGTACGGTTGCATACTTGATCTAGTCGGCTTTCAGAATATTCGAATTGAGATAAAACAAACACACACAAAAAACACACAAAAGGGATCAAGGTCATCCCCTCCTAATAAAAGAAAAATAAAAAATAAAAACAACATACTACAAGCTCTACTTTTGGCCTCCAAATACAAGTTCTACGGGGCATTCCTCGGATAAAAATATATACAAATTCTTCGGGGCATTCCCCGGATAAATTTAACTAAGGGAACGACCTCTCGCCTTAACGCTAACAAAATCCTAAAGCTTGCCTACCCAAGTATGATTGGCCTAAACATGTTCCTAACGAAAGTATCAAATAACAAAACTAATTTAATTTACGACTCAACTTAATAATTTGGCATGGTAAAACAGTAATCCAAAAAACTTAAACGTAAAACTCGAATACCATTAATTCTAATCACTATCGTAGTCTATTTTATGGTCTCGATGAGTTTTAGCCTAAAATTGTTAACCAAACAGACTATGTGCATTCATTATTCTAAAGAAAACTAGATAAATTCACTTCTATTTTCAAATAATGTCTCGCATGTAGGCTGACCACCTTGAATAAATCAAACTAAAATGATTCTAAACACACCACGAGCAAAACAATTATTCAACATTCATAATCACCAAAGATTGGGCACAAGACACAGATATAAAAATTCATAATCAAAGTAAGAGACAACCTCAAAATGATAGCTTTTCTGATTACATTGGCAGTGCCAGAACGCGAATCGAGACTAGAGCTTGACCAAAAATCCTCGTCGGCAACCTCGAACTCCGACCAAGCTTGCTGACCGGAACCCTCGAACAAACCACAAATTAAGAAGCCTCGAAACAGCGGTTCAAAGAGTGAAACCAAATTAAACTTGCCTACTTTCACTAAATTTTAGATCCGTATGAATCATGATTTTCGAATCTGATTTTGAAATTATTTTTCAGAGACACATAATGCTATGATTTTATATATGGAAGAAAAATGGTAAAACAAGATGGAGATTCATGGCTGCGTTTTTGGAACTCATTCTTGGGTTTCTCCGTTCCTCCGTCTTCTTCTGTTTACTGTATGTTTGTCGCTGGTTCTTTAAAATCAAGGAAGATTGGGGTCGTCGGCGTGGTGATCACTGATGGAGATCGGGGTCGTTGGTTGGAGAGAAGCTGGCGGGTGGCAGTGAGCGTCAGAGGCGACTGTGTGTGTTTTTTGGGGTGTTCGTCCGGTTGGGAGGGTGGTTGTTGTCTTGGTCTCTCTAGGGTTTGTTGTTGCGTATATTGGTCGAAGAAGAAGAGGTGACCTATTGTCTAGGGTTTTTTTGTGTATTCTTCCTGATAGAAACAGCTGAAGGCTCCAAATCTTAGGGTGCCTAGTTTTATTAGAATTTTAGGGTTAGGTTAGTAGTTATTGGGCCTAGGATTACAGGCTAGATCCAAATTGGGCCAAATTTGGCCAAATATACCTTTAAAAGTGGCCCTTCTCTAGTAGACTAAAAATATTAGCTCCTAAAATAACAACTATAAAATTATGAAATTATTTACAATTAATTAAAGTAAAATTAAAATTAAAAGTGAAACTATTTTATATCAATTAGCTAAATAAATATTTTTGTAATTTTCAATTTTGTTTGATAAAATAAAGTAAAAGAGTTAAAACTAATTGAAATAACGATATTAGGCCTAAACTAAGTATTTAAATGCTAAAATATGTAAAATCTTGGGGAGGGTCAAATATCACATGTCTACAATACTATTCACGTTCTTCGATCCGAGCAGGAATCGGAGAGGGTGGCGGCCACTCTAAGGAAAACGAGGCTCGAGGAGCGTATTGATGAGATCGACCGGGAGGCGTCGTCCTTATGGGACCGGGTCGATGCCCTTGAGGCCAAAAAGGAGTAGCTGTTGGCTCAAATCGAATATTCCCCCGCTGATATTCCACGTCATTTGCACGAGCTTTGGGTTCATGCTGAAGCCCATCAGGACATATATAAGAGTTTATAGGAGGCGGGCAATGTTACCGAGGCCACATATGAAGGAGCACGGTCGAAGGCACGAGAGGCTGGTGTTAACTGTGAATATGACTCTACGACGCTGGAGGCTGATGAGGGCGCGGATGACAAGGGAGGACTTCCGAGAGATGGTGGTGAAGAGGGTGGCGATGATGGCGCCGAGTGAAAGAATTGCTGTCTTTGTCTGTATTTTTTGTTGTTTATTATTTTTTTCTTGGACTCTGTTGGTTTTAGCCGTATATAATCAGCGGCTGTTTGCGCAGTAGCTTTGTATAAGGAGGAATTTTTCATTGTTATATGCCTCCTGTACTTCTTTCCCTGTTTTGCTCTTCATAACTTTGGTGCAAAAAAGTAGATTTCCGCGTGGTGAGTGCCCGACTCTTAGGGAATTTAATGTCACACGGGTTGAGTAGGACCTTGATGATGGCTATAGCTGGCGGGATGGTGTTTTCGAACTTGTGTTGAGGTGTTGTCCCATCCTAGTCTGAAATGGTATCGAACTCTTTTTTTAATAGCGACCTTAGCCGTAGGGATGTTACTTTCGAGCTTATATCGAAGTATTATCCCATCATGAGTCCCAGTTTTCTTTCCCTCTTATTTTTTGATGGCCCTTGGCCTTTAGGATATTTTGAACTTTTTCTTCAGCGATGGCCTTTGGCCTTAAGGTGTCATTTCGAACTTTCGTCGAGATATTAACCCGTCATTGTTCGATAGAGGTCGAACTCTTCTTTTTGGCGAAGGCCCTTGGCCTTAACGGTGTTATTTCGAACTTTCGTCGAAATATTAACCTGTCATTGTTCAATCGAGATCGAACTCTTCTTTTTGGTGAAGGCCCTTGGCTTTAAGGGTGTTATTTTGAACTTTCGTCGAAATATTAACCCGTCGTTTTTCGATCGAGGTCGAACTCTTCTTTCTGGTGAAGGCCCTTGGCCTTAAGGGCGTTATTTCGAACTTTCGTCAAAATATTAACCTGTCGTTGTTCGATCGAAGTCGAACTCTTCTTTTTTGGCGAAGGCCCTTGTCCTTAAGGGTGTTATTTCGAACTTTCATCGAAATATTAACCCGTCGTTGTTCGATCGAGGTCGAACTCTTCTTTTTGGCGAAGGCCCTTGTCCTTAAGGGTGTTATTTCGAACTTTCATCGAAATATTAACCCGTCGTTGTTCGATCGAGTTTGAACTCTTCTTTTTGGTGAAGGCCCTTGGCCTTAAGGGTGTTATTTCGATCTTTCGTCGAAATATTAACCCGTCGTTGTTCGATCGAGGTCGAACTCTTCTTTTTGGTGAAGGCCCTTGGCCTTAAGAGTGTTATTTCGAACTTTAATCGAAATATTAACCCATCGTTGTTCGATCGAGGTCGAACTCTTCTTTTTGGCGAAGGCCCTTGGCCTTAAGGGTGTTATTTCGAACTTTCGTCGAAATATTAACTCGTCGTTGCTCGATCGAGGTCGAACTCTTCTTTTTGGTGAAGGCCCTTGGCCTTAAGGGTGTTATTTTAAACTTTCGTCGAAATATTAACCCGTCGATGTTCGATCGAGGTCGATGATGGATATAATTTATTCATGTATTTTTATATGTAAATATTAAATATTTTAAATAAAACATGAATAAATATACCATATTCTCCCATATGTTTTAACATACTTCGCAGGAGGAAGAGCTTATGAAAATTAAAAAAAAGAAACAAAAAAGAGTGAGAATTGAGTAGTCAACCGGAAATGAAGAAGCAAAGATAGCACCATAGTTGCGATTGGAAATCATGAAGCAAATTACATAGTTGCAACTAGCAAACTAGAATTGAAACTATGGTTAATGAAACTCAATTGGCAAAGTCATAGTTGCACCTACAACTTCCATAGTTGCAACTATGAAGAACCTTAGGCAAGAAAACTCTATAAATAGAGTGTGAATTTTGAAGAGAAGACATAGAGTCTTACGGGAGAAAACTAATCTTTGGTCTCTCTCTTTGTCTTTAGTATTTGCTATTAGTTGTCTTTANTATAATACTATCTCAGTTTTAATACATTCTTGGTTTGGAACTTTCTATTTATATTTTATATTGTTCTATAATAATAGTTTTTAACTAATCATTGTTATCACTTCTATATATTTTATCTTTAAGTTATTCCCATATTAATTTTGTAATTCTCATGGAGCAAAATTAATATATAGTAACTATTGAATAAAATAGTGAAGTTAGAGTGATTATTAGTAAGCTATTATTAAAAGTCAGTAATCTTGCTTGCCTCAATTTTAATTTTCACGGAGGAATTGTAGTCGCGGGAGTATTGATTTAGTAAAAATATTCTCACGAAATTTTTACTATCTTTTAGCACAATTCAAACCAGAAGATATTTTGATTTAACCGTCATTAGTTTTAACTCACTTAATTACGTAACCTCACGGAGTGTTATTAGTTGATTAATTCTTGGTGAGATAAGATATAATTGTATTAGCAATAAGCAATTATCCTTTAGAGAAATACATGTAGAAAGTGAGATTTTATTATAATATATTATCAAGTGAATTCAACGATTCTCAACTCTTTTTAAATTATAAATCTTTCGAAAGTTGTTTGATTTTGTTAAGTATTTAACAAGTTTTAATTCCACAAACTTTTCATCAATCTGATTCTCTCAAATAGTAGCTAAAATATTATAAGTCTGTAGAATAGATTTTTCAATCTCTGTAGAACGATATCATAAACTATACTAGAATTTGACAAAGCACGAGCAGGAAAATCCTATACACATTGGCCTCGTCAAATTTTTGGCGCCGTTGCGGGGATTGGCATACATCTACTTCAGATTAAATATTTTGTTATTAATTTGAGAATTTATTACTGTTATTTTTGTTTCAGTTAATATTTTCACTAATTAAGGCTATAACTACTACTGTGATATTAATCCTAATGTAATGTTTATGTTCATAATGGTATTGTAAAAGTTTTTTTTTCTCTTTTGTATTATTTCTTCCTACTAGTTCCATCATTAACTGTTTTTTAGCAAATTATATATACTGCTATTAGTACTCTCTGCTTTATCATAATAATTGTGTTATAACTATTATTTACTATTTTTACAACGTGTATATTTATAACTGTTATACTATTGTTAGTTCTTTCATATTTAAGTTTTTTTAACTACTGAAAAATAGTCTTATGACCATTCCAACTATATGTACTATCACTAATTACTTTTTTCCATATATAATAGTATTATAGTATTGTTTCTTGTCATAGTTCACTGTTGCATCGTTTTATTTTTCTTTATAACTATCTTGTTATAAGTTTGTGTAAAATATTATTATTCTCTATAGATAATAAAATTATTGTATAATTATTTTTGCTCAACACCTACCGGTTTTATCATTTTTGTAATTTTTTATACACTTATATTTTTTTTCTTGTACTTTCTTTACTTAAGAATTTTAAGTTGTTTATGACCCGCTCTTCTACAAAAGAGTTGGTCAGTTACAATCCTGAAATTGAAAGATTTATTCGATTGCGCAGGAAATAACAAACATCGTCTTCTCAAGGAGCATCTTGTAAAGAAATGGAAAACCAGGAAGCAGAGGACATTAACCCACTTGGGATCCCACCACAAGTCCACGTGGAGGAGCAATTTGATGAAGTGGCGCCAAGGCCAGCAAACAGAATCCTTAGGAATTATGCTAGACCTGATCACTTCAACTGTGAATCTAGTGTTAGGAAGCCCCTAGTGGCAGCCAACAACTTTGAAATCAGGATCGACCTGATTCAGACAATTCAACAATCTTGTATCTTCACTGATGATACAAGTGAAGACCAACATAGTCATTTAATTGATTTTCTAGAACTTGTAGAAACTGCTAAGTACAATGGAGTACCTGCTGAAGCTATCAAGTTAAGGCTATTTCCTTTTTCTTTAAAAGGAGATGCCAAGACTTGGTTGCGAAGTTTGCCTCAAGGGTCCATTACGATATGGGACCAGATGACTCAGAAGTTTTTAAACAAATATTTTTCCTCTGCTAAAATGACAAAGTTAAGACGAGACATACCTAATTTTTTACAGACTGACACTGAGTCAGTTTATCAAGCTTGGGAAAGATTAAAAGCAATGTTAAGAAAATTCCCACCCCATGACATTCCTGAACATATGCAATTGTACATTTTCTATCACGGGCAAAAACCCTCTGCTAGAAATGTGATAGATACAACCGCAGGAGGTTCTGTAATGGGAAAAACTACAGAGGAAGCATTGCAGCTGTTGAACGAAATTTCTGAGAACGCTATCCAATAGCCATATGAGCGTGTAATCATTAAAAAAGGCTGCTACGGTAAATCAGGTTGATGTTTTAAATACACTAAC